GGCTGGCACGTGTGTGGCATGGCACGGGGCTGGCGTGGCACGGGGCTGGCGTGGTGTGGGGCTGGCGTGGCATGGGGCTGGCACGGGGCTGGCATGGCACGGGACTGGGATGGCACAGCACGGGTGATGTTTTTGGCGGCTGAAGGTGACGAGGGCAGGCAGCGAGGAGCCGGCCGCTCTGGATGCTTTGACCTCCTCCAGCCATGCCAGCACCCCCGGTGCAGGGGATGCTGCCCCTGCCCAGCCCCGGCTCCGGCAAACTCCAACTCGGCTGCTAATCCCGGCAGCGGATAATCGGCCACCGCGGGTATTTAGGCTGCGAGCTCCCCGGGCAGCAGCTCCCTCTTCCCGGCAGGATGAGGGCACCGCCGCAGCGCCGACGCCCTGTGGCACCCACCGGTGTGGAGGGGGATGCGACCGCCACCGGCCCCCCGTGCCCATCACCACGCACTTGTCCCCAAGCACCGAAACCCCCATCGACGGGACCCTCCTGCACCCCAGCGCCCGACGCAGCAGTTCCCCGGGGCAGGGACTGGTGGGTGGCAGTGCCACCCCCCCGCGCCAGCCAAGGTGGCAGGGCTCCAGTGGGTGCTGGCGGCGGTTGTCGGAGCGCGGGAGCCATCAGCACGCGATGCGCGCCCGCTGCCTCCTTCCCTTTCCCTCCCTCCCTCGATGTGGCTTTGCTGGGCGCCCCAAGGAACCGAGGCGGAGGGGCTTGAACGTCTCCCCCACCCCTGCGCTGCCCGTCCTGCCCAGCAAAGGGCTGTTTAGTCTGGAGGAGGGCGATACCGGGCCGGTGGACGCGGGGGAGGCCGCGCGCTGAGCCACTGCCACGGCACAGCGAGCGCTGAAAGTCTTTCCATGTCACGGGGCCTTGACGTGATGCCGAGGAGACGGGCGGCTTCCCGAAGGCTGGAGGTTTAAAAAGCAAGGGGTGCCTGCCTCGCCACCGCGCCCCCCTCGCCTCGCCACCCCGTGCCGCGTTGGCGCCTCGGCACAGCCGATCCCACCCGCTCCTCACCCCGCGGCGGGCGCGGCGGGGACCGTGACACGGTGGCCCTGGCCGCTGGGCGTGCATGCACACGCGTGTGCATGGGAACACGGGCATGTGCACATGGGAGTGCGTCCGTGCGCATGAGAATACGCATGTGTGCATGGGAATGTGCAGGTCTGCATGGGAGCAGGTGCATGTGTGCATGGGAACACACCTGTGTGCATGAGAACATGCATGTGTGCATGGGAATATGCATGTGTGCATGGGAATGAGCCCGTGTGCATGAAAACACATGCATGTGTGCACGGGAATGTGCATGTCTGCATGGGAACATACCTGTGTGCATAACAACACGCACGTGTGCATGGGAAGGTGTGCATGTGTGCATGGATTGTGTATGTGTGCATGGGGACACATGCATGGGTGTGTGGACTGTGCATGTGTGCATGGGAATACACGTGTGTGCATGGATTGTGCATGTGTGCATAGGAATACGCACGTGTGCATAGGAGCATGTGCATGTGTGCATGGGAATACATGTGTGCATGGATTGTGCATGTGTGCATGGGAGCACATGCCCGTGTGCATGGGAACGTGCCCGTGTGCATGGGAAGACACACGTGTGTGCACGGGAAGACACGCGTGTGCGTTGGGAACACGCGTGTGTGCACGGGAATGCGTCCGTGTGCACGGGAGCCCGCGCGCGCGGGGGCAGAGGTGGGCGCGGGGGGTCCCGGGGGGCTCCGCCGTGCCCACGCGTGGCTCCCGCGTGGCTCCCGCGTGGCCCCAGGCGCGGG